ATTGTAGCCTGTTGATTCCTCCTGATTTTTTTATTATAATATTGACATCTTTATGAATCCCTTTCCGAATAGCTTCTATAATTTCCTTTTCTTTTTTTCCAGGTTCAGCTTTCAGACTTTCTAAAATTCTAATGGTTCTATTTATCTCCGATTGGGCACGCATTAAGGTTGTTTTTCTGGACTGTATATGCAAGGTTCGATTCAGTTCGAGTTCGAAAAAATAATTTAAAGTTCGGTTCAAGTTTGGATCGATTTAAAAAAAAAAGGGTTTGACCCATTACTAATTTTAATACAAAATTATGAGCGAACATTTTGTTATGCGAAAATTGAAACTCTTCTGATGTAATAAAATTATTAACTTTAATAAAAATAAATAAAATGCCTTGAACTAACATTTTACTTAATTATATAATATGGTTACATTTCCAAAAAAAACATAAGTTGTAATACAATATATTATATATTATATAATATTATATTGTTATAGTACCTTATTATAATACGTATTTAGTTTAATTTATTTTAATAACATCTGAAATAATATAACATTAATATTATAAATTGATTTAATAAAATATTTTCTAACAAAAAAATTATATTAAAATATTAACATTTGAACATGGTATTTTTTTTAAGTTCATTGATTTTTGTATAATTTTATATGATTAACTATTAATTATTTTGTTTTTATTTTTTAGTTCAGCTGAATTGTAACGAAACGTTTATTTAAATATTTAAGATGTATTTTACGTACGTTAAATTATTCAATAGCATAATTCACATAGGTAAACTACATAAAATTACTATTAAGGAAATTTAATTTTCCAAAACAATAAATACATTTAAGCTCATATAACGGTAGAAAGTGTATTATTTTTATGTGGTAATTTGTATATATATATTAGGTATAAAAAGAAACTACAAAAATATACATAGATTGGAAATTTAATATTCAAAAAAAATTAGGGTTTGTTGGAATAAGTATTGAATAATATGTGTCGAAATACATTTTTATTTATAATATAATATTAAGTATAGGTGATGTATTATGTATTATCTAGCGTAAATTATGTTCCATAACATTTATTTGATCAACTTGTTTGATTTATGTAGTCTTTTGTGCTTGCTTAATGACGAATAAATAATATTTATACCAAAATCAAAATAGTATTGCACAAAATGGACTCTTTTTCACTATCGGATAACAGAAAATGAAAATTTATTACATAGACTTTTCAAAAAATATCGCTATTATAAAAATTCCTTGGATGTAATCATTTTAGTTAAGTTATAATACTAAATAATATTTATAAATATTTTTAAAAGGTAACATAATTAAATAAATAATGTATAAATAACAATAAATTAGTAAGTATACTAAAAATAATTTTATTTTTTATTTTTTCAAATAATTATTATTTGTTTTAATCCATTATGTTCTAGCACACCCATATGGGAACGCAAAAAATAATTTCTTAAAATCCCTGTAGTTCCCCAAGTATTAGTGTTATATCAATTTTATCAATGTTTATACACTCTATATATATATATATATATATATATATATATATAACAGAAAAATATATGATTCATCAGAATTTTATAATATCTAAATAAATAAACTGAATAAAATATAGTTTATTTATGTAAATCAAATACAAAATTGTCATTTACTTACTTATTTGATAGATTTTTATAAGTATATTTCTCTAGAAAATATATCTATAGAAATCAATTAATTGAGATATTAGAAAAAATTTTGAAAAACAATAAATAATTTAATACTTTTATTTTTAGTCTATAATAGCAACAATAACAAAATGTATTTGTATATATATATATATAAGTTTTATTAGAACTTAATAGAAACGGGTGAATCATTTGCTTCGTTTTAGTTGTTGTAGACAAAATAAATTTTAGTACCTACTTCAGATTATTACAAAATTGAAGTTCAAGTTAATTCAAATGACGAATTCCTACTAGACTACAATATATATTAGTCCAGTCAAATTAGAAAAAAGTTCGGAACTAATTCCACGAAAGCAGGATTTTAGTTTTTTTTTTAGTTTATACCTCACTGATAAACATACTAAAAGTCCTGACACCTACCCCCTGTGCGTAGCTCTCCACCCCTCTTCAAAGGGTGGCGCGCCCTTTTCACTATTTTCGCTTATAACTCGTCAGCTTTTCAATTTACATTAAAAATACCTATGACTAAAATTAAAGACCATAAAATTTACCATAGACTTAATGTACTTTTTGTATATATATGTTGCGATAAGTGTTATACATTAAAAAAATATAAAAAATAAAAATTTTTTATCTTTTTTTTATTGTGTTTGAGCAAAAACCGTCAATGATACGCTGAAATGACCTATGACAAAAGTTAACGAGCAGATAATTTTACATAATAAAACGTTAAATTATTTTAAAAATTTCAATTACCGTAAGTAATAATGTTTTTTATATCAGTAGTAGCGATATAATTGAACAATTTGTTGACAATTACAAAATACAAGAATCAGAAATTTAATTACAATCTACTAAAAAAAAATTGCCGAAAGCTGAATTTTGGTATGTGAGTAGTTTATACTTTACTTATAAACATACCAAACGTCCTGACACCTACACCTTGTGCGTAGCTCTCCACCCCTCTTCAAAGGGTGGCGCGCCCCTTTCACTGTTTTCGCTTATAACTCGTCAGTTTTACAAGTTACAATAAAAATACCAATGACCAAAATTAAAGACCATAAAATTTACAATAATAATACATTATTTTATTTGACATACATATTAATAAAAGTGAAATTTAAAGAAAAATTGAATTATGAAATAATTATTAATTACAATCATTTTTAAAATAAATACAAAAATTGAAAATTATACATTTATTTTTATTTTTTCAGACTATAAGTTATGAAATTAAATTTAAAAAATGGTGTTGGTCCTGGAATGGTTTAATGGGGTTGTAAGTCCTGAAACAAAATTAATTAATATACTTAATATTTTCATATTTATATTATATTATGTATTGAATTATTAAAATCATACTGTACCTTATTAATTAAATTATGTGGGTCGAATTTTTTTTATTGTCGGTTTGTTGGTTTTGAAGAGGGGTGGAGAGCTACGCACAGGGGGTAGGTGTCAGGACTTTTAGTATGTTCATCAGTGAGGTATAAACTAAAAAAAAAACCAAAATCCTGCTTTCGTGGAATTAGTTCCGAACTTAGTCGATTTTTGGTCTAATTTGACTGGGCTATATCTCCTTAGTGTATACACATTCTAATTTTGTGTCCCTGCGCCCTAACAGGAATTAAAATGTAAAAGATCAGCTAGAGTAATTAATTCTCTTATCTAACTCTTACCTAATTACCTCACTTAAAAATGATTAATTTATAAATTATCTCCAACATAAATTGTGTTAGCTATGTAATTATAGGTGATGTTAGACGCTCCAAAAAGTATATGGTTTGTAATCCACTTACCACCTATTTTCGTCACATTAAACCATGCTCTTTAGTTCTATGTATTTTTGAATATTATCATTATACTATAAATAAATATAGATAAATGTAACTAGATATTAAATTCTATTAAAAACTATCTCTTTGAGTTTTCTAATCTAATACAAATAGTGACGACCACATGAAATTATCATCAGCAGTTTGATCGAAAAGTTTCACATAAAAAAACAATCGATTGATAGTTAATAAATTATATTTTTTTTTTCCTATTAATATATAATATTAAGTAATTAAGGACTAAAATTACTTATGTTAATATGTTAGGTTAAGAAAAGTTATCATGGATATAAGTTATATAATTATTGAGTACATAATTACTTATAATTATTTTTTATATAAGATTATACTGCAATTCATAATATAATAGTTTATAAATATATAATTATAATACAATTAATGAAGGTGGATTAAATAGTTTGCTAACAATTTTGGGCATTAAAATAAAATAATTATTTTTGCTTTGGTAAATAAAATATTTCAACGAGATATCTTCGACATTTACTTAATAGTATTTTAAAAGATCACAATGAATTTAAACAAACATTTAAAGAGAGTAAGTACATAATCCTATCACATTCTATATTACTTTATTGATTTATTTTCTCTATGTATATATTATATTATTATTATATTATGTATATCATTAAATATAATAAATTACAGTAAAACCGTCAAAGACGCCAAGGATAATTGTTAGACACATTTTCTTCACTTCGAACATATATACCTTACAAAAAAATCTATAAAGTTATGATCAAATATATACTATTAATTTTATTATTAAATCCAAAACTTCCTTAAACGTGTGTAATAAATAAAAAAAAAATTGTTATTTATTCGAAATAAAAGTATGTTTATTAATATTATAATATATATTAGGTATGTCGGTACAAAATATAAACAGCTATTACTAAACAACAATCAGTAGTCCAAAAATATTGCAATTAGAGTTATAAATCTATGTAAGTATTGAAAATAAATGTATAACTTAGCAGTTATTGAAGCAATATAAAATTAAAAATACTTACTTACGTACAATCATTATTTCCGAAAATATTGAAGATATATATATATATATATATATATATATATATATATATATATATATAATATTATTTAATACTGTTATTAATACTTTTAATTATTAGAAAAATATTTAAACAGTTAAATAGTTTTTTTAAATCATTATCCGGTAACATTAAAAATGTATCGGTATTAAGCATTTAAATTAATCGACCTTCAAAATAAATCCGAAAATAATAATACTTTTGTATTAGTAGGTACCTAAAACAAGACATTTTAATATTAGTTTAAAATGTATATTTTTCGACTATTTTCAAAAAAATATATTGATTTTATTTTTAATACCGAAAAATTAGACTTAAAACATACCAATAAACAAAAATGATCAATAGTTTTCAAAAATAAGTACAAACATTTATCATTCATTTTTTATATTCGATACCACTATAACATCCATAAATTTGCTCTGTGTGATAAAATAGAATTATTAATTAATTAAGTATATTATGTATACATACAGTGGCACTAAACTTAAATTGAATGAGGGAAGTGGGACAAAAGTTATTTCTTGCCACCTACAACACCATAGAAACATATAAAGTAGTTAATACATAAATAGATTTTTTGGATAACAATCTAGCTCAACTGACCGATAAAAAGGGGGAGGCGGTTGTCCTTATTGAGTTATAGCTATAACTTTAACCTAGGTTGGGTACTCCTGTATTAATTAATAACATTTATATATGTTTATCATTCATACATTGTATAAATATTGTATTGAGCATCATTTTACGTATTGTTTATTGTTTGACTTGATGATCAGTGTTTAACACCTATAATAATGTTCACATAGTAAAATTGTATATAACCGTAATGCATTATAATTAAATCGTAAATTTCGAAAAAGGCCCATCTCGAGTTTCTATACAATAGACTTTCCTACATTTTTTTTTATCTACACATATAAACCGATATTTTATGAGCGAGAAGGGCTTACAATTCTTTACTATTGAGATAAATGAGTTAATTAATTAAATGAGTTAATTAATTATTGTTAATTGCTAAAATAAAGAAAATAGTTCAAAAGAAAATCAGTTTTTATAGTTTCGTGAACAATTTTAATTTCAGATACGAGCCCTTTTCGAAATTCAAGATTCAATTAAATCCAAGATTCTTGAAAATATTATAAAGAAACATCAATGATTGAAATAGATTTTAAACTAACGGTAAAAATGATGGTTTTTATACATAAAAAATTAATATAATCCATATGTTAGCATTGACTATATTAATAGTATATATTTTTCGTTAATAAATTAAACTGATGAGTTAAATATGTACCATTTACATTTTTCCGTATGAGATTGTATTATTATCTAAATAAAAAAATTAACATTAAAACACAAAAGTAATTAAATTTTATTTTTTTAATCAACATTTTTTCGACTTTTTTATAAAAAAGTTGAAAGCCCTACTAACCTAATTTAATAATAATAGCAATAATAATATAAATTAAATGCCATTATGAATCAATTATAAATTATTCAAACGGTTAATATATTAAAACGTATAACAAACATTATGCCCAAAATGTTTATTTAGCTGTTATATCATATGCTGGTATAATTAGCTTTAAACAACATAAAATATATTTCAAGTAAATTTACTTTATGTTAGTAAATACATGAGTTCTTACAACAAGAAAATTGGCATATTTCCTTTAAATAATGTTACATTAATTAATTAAATGATTCAACACTTAAGTTTTAAGTATATAAATTACTAAGTACATGATGTATCCATGTTTCAACGTTGTACGAAGGATATACATATTTTTTTTTTATAGCGAGGCCCTTTTTTAAATTATACAGGCTTATATCTAAAAACGAATTGGCATCCAACATTTTTTTTTAGAATAATACATTGAATAATTACATAAATTAAGAAAACTAACAATAACAAATACCTAAAAATATATTAAACTAAGTATTTTCATAGCAAGAATAACTATTTTACTTATATATTTAGGTAGTTTTATAGAAATACGAATATAAGGACGTCTCCAACGAAGTGTCGTAACTCACTTTTACAAAATGTTCAGGAAACACAGTATAATATTTAAAAATAAAATCTTATTTTGGTTTTCAAAAATTGTAAATCTAAAAATTATTTTTGTTATCTTTCAGGTTCCAGGTTTCAGGTGTTATATTTTCAGCTAACTCTATTTGTTGAAAATAAAAAATAGGTTAAAAAAAATTATGAGTTACGACTATTTTCGCTGGAAAAAATAAGATAAAAATAAAAACGGAAGTCAAGTTACGACAGTTTTCGTTGAAAAATAAATTAAAAAAATAAGTCAAGACGTAATAACCATTGTAATGTCTTATTAATCAAAATAATATTTATTATGACAACTCAATATAGTTATAATATATATAATATTTTATAATATTCATAAATCATAAAACCATATATTGTATATAATTTAAAATGAAGAAAGTAGGCAGGTTTAGAAAATGGCATATAATGATACATTACTTAATGTATTATAGTTTTAACTATCTGAGAAATTTTAATAATACTTACATTTTGTTCGCATTCATTAATTTAATATTATTCATTGTGTAATCCATCGCAAAAGTAAAAAAAACAAAATATTTTTAATATTCTAACAATTAATAACGTAATATTTATAAAAGTTAAAACCCACAAAGGTAAGCAAGCAGAAATCCAAAAATAGAATATTATAAATTATAGTATTCGAGTTACCATAGTTTTCGTTGGTAGTCTTATTAAATTTAGTGGTAACTCATGATAAGACTTTTTTCGCGTTTTTTGCGTTGGTCTTGTCTACTTTCTGTGTTAAGACACTAGGCATTTACCTTTAGAATTAGAATCATTGCATTTGGGTAAAATCGGGAATCACTGTACATAATTATATGAACATATATAAATTACGGTTTTAATTAGCAATACGGTTATAATTGATTAATAAAGACGGTGTTACAAATAATGGTAGCGATATAGCGCACTCTATGGTGTTCACTTGGTGAGCCATTGGGTATCAATTTAGTTAAGCGTTACACCGTTGATGATGGCGCTCACGACTATCGACAGAATAATTGGATAACGAGTTTTGTTTGAAGTCGTCATCACCTGAACTGAACGAACCCTCATCATCGAGTGCGCTGTTTGTACTCAGGGCTGTATTAAAGATATTTTCCGTCCAGGGGCAACAACATTTTGCTACCCCTCTTCTTTAAAGTGCAAAACTGTAAACAAGTGTCTTCAATCATTCATTTAAAAGCCACTCACTATGGTTGCAATTAACTATCTCCATTTCAGTACGCTATTCCACAATATTTATAATTAATAAATAAAATTCTAAAACTGAGTTTTAATTACCTAAATAAAGTTATAGTAAATGTCTATTATAAGATTGATTGGTGGTACACTTCGGTCTAAATATTCCATTCCCCAACAAATCAAATCAAGATTAAACCAACATCTATATCTCAATTAAACACCGTGTAAAATAAAATACTCTAAAATAGATATACATTTTATATGCTACTAAATAATAGAAATAATTTTACAATATTACATTTATTTTGTAAATAGTTATAATTTTATTTATTTATCATTCATAAGTATTTTTCCTTTGAGAATACGAATCGAAGAAAAAATCGATTTGTTTTTATTTTGAATAACTGTAAAAATGTTACCCCTTTAAATACTTTAGAGGGGGCTATTGCCTCCCTGAACCATCCCTTAAATACAACCATATAAGTACTTGTTTCTCTGCAATCATCCATTGTATAGGGAATAGATAATTGATAAGCCATGTAAGTACGTGAGTTTTATTAGACTAAAGCTCCAAACGCTGTAATTTGATGAGTCTCTTTACAGTTAACTCTAATGAGTTATATGTTATAAAAGAAAATAATATAAATTGTTTATGTATGTTTGTAATAAATAAATTATTAACATGTCAGAAAAAAGTAGTACAACATCTGTATTGTTACATGTTTCAAAAAATATAATTTTAAAAAAAATGTTTAATTATTTTATGTAAAATTATTCACTTCTTACATTTTTTTGCAAATTATTTATTGTTAAGAACAAAAGCAATTTTTTTAATATATGTTTCATTACAAAATACCATAGGTATTTATAAAGAAGTATTACTACTCTAGTCTATATACCCACTAAAAAGTATAAATATGTAAGAAAGGTTCAGAGATAACATTTTATTCCTCTCAAATAAAAATAAATAAATATTATTATATCATATTTTTCGAATAATTCGTCCATATTACATGCTATTCAAGTTAAGTTATCTCTTGGTTTCTTCTACTTTAATAATATAACGTTTCGAAAATCATTGTTTACTGCTTATTGCTTTCGAATTCTCTTGTCGTTCATATTATAGGTGTAGATTGAAGATACCTACGCAACAATGCTGAATAGTGCTCGTCTTATAGTTTACATGGGCATAAACGGCATAAGCGGCATAAATATTGAATTAATATTATTAGCTTCATAGAGTATCATATTTTTATACAAGGAATACTATTTAAAATTACAATATATATATATTTATTTATTTATTAACACCCGCAAGGAGTAAAAGTACAGTGGTATAATATTAATTTTATCATTATATAATAATAAACATACAGGTAATACAGTTATTTAAATATACATAATTTTAACTTATACAACGAATCAGAATTAAAATCAAAATTGGTAACTTCATTACATGACTTAGGCAAGTGGGATATTGGACTATTAATAACATGATTTCGAGTAGTTGGGGAGGACATGAAAACTTAATATGTTTCTAGTGTTAAAAGTAGGGACTTTAAAACCAATTAATGATAAAAATTCTGGACAATCTATCATACCATTTAATAACTTATACATAAACACTATATCATTTTACTTACGATGGGCAGCTTAATAGCTAATGGCTTAAGACCAATACGGTTTGCAATATTAGAAGAAGACATGTTTAAAAATCACATTTTATATCTAAAAATATGTATGAAATGTCTTTGTAGTTGGTCAAGCTTTTCAATTTGACCAGACTGTGACGGATTCCAAATCATAGACCCAAATTCCAATATAGACCAAAATAATACATGGTAAAGTGTAGTAAAACATTTATTTCCTTAAATTCGGCACAATTTCTTTTCATAAAACTAAGAACTCTCAATGCTTTATTATAGACGGAATCTATATGTGCATTGAAATTACAGTCATTTGAAAAAATAATGCCCAAGTCTCGTACATTATTCCTTTGAATAATTTCTTCATTGTTAATATAGAACTAAAAATTAATTGCAGAACTATGGCGATGAAAAGAAATGTGAACACATTTTGATATATTAATAGAGAAACCATTTTCTACACACCAAACAACTAGTTGCTCCAAATCTGATTGTAAGTTTTTAGCATCAGAAATTGAAGACAGAGGCAAATACATCTTAAAATCATCAGCAAAAAGTGAAAACTTACAGTACTTAAAAACCTTTCCAACGTCATTTATAAAAATTAAAAAGAGTAATGGCGATAAATGACCTCCTTGGGGTACTCCTGATGAAATAGACACTATATTAGAAATTGAACTGTTAATTTTTACCATTTGGACGCGGTCAGTCAAATAAGATTGAAGCCAAGATAAAAACGGGTCACTTATACCAATTTTCTTAAGCTTACTGATAAGAATATACTGATAAACAGTATCAAATGCTTTTTTTAAGTCTGTATACAATACGTCGACTTGATTACCACATGACACTTCTTTAACTAAAATTGTGTAATATACTAAAAGACTAGTAGTAATTGATTTTTATTTCGAAATCCGTGTTGTTCATTCATTAGTATATTACTAAAAATCTTTGACATCTTAGGGACAATAAGTTTTTCAAATAATTTTGGTAAAGTACTTAATTTTGATATTGGTCTATAATTTTTGATATTTTTGAGCGGTCTCCAGATTTCCAGATCGAAGTAATAAAACTAGATTTCCATTTTAGAGAAAATTTGCCAGTTTTTAAAGACAGAGAAAAAAGATAATGAATAGGTTTAGATAAGGCATAACGACAGCTGTTAATTAAAATAGGTGGCAACATATCTGGTCCTGAATATGTTTCAAATCCTAGATTACTTAAAGCATCAAATACTTCTTCAACAGAAATTGTAATATTAGAACAATGTACTAAGTCTTCAATATGATGTAATGAGGATGGATTTTCAAAATTTAGTTTTTTGTAAACAGAGCTAAAACAATTAGAAAACAAATTTGCAATATTTAATGGTTCATCGGAAAGCTTACCCTCATATGACATACTATTTGGCAGTGGCTTATTCAGAATTTTTTTTTGGGAGGGGTTATAAAAAATGTAACATTCAATTTTTTTTTTAATTTTGTGTATTTTTATTATAATTAATAGACAATATACATACATTAAACATTTTTGAGGGGGGTTATAACCCCCTAACCCCACCCCTGGATACACCACTGCTATTTGGAAGGTCACTACTTGTTTTAGAATTTTTAATATAATTCCAAAATGAGCGAGGATTTTTAATGAGTGAATTTTGAATATTGGTTAAGTATAGTAAGTAACATAATCTTGATTTTTTTTTTTTACAAAGTGCTCGCAAATAAGAAAAATGAATACGATCTTTGTTGTTGCCAGAATTTTTAAACTTTCTATGTGCTACTTTCTTCTTTTTTAATAACTCACGGAGTTCCAAGGAAAACCAAGAGGGTGTAAAGCATCTTCGCTTATTTTTCTGTGTTATATTTACCTTAATAATGTCAAACACACTCTTATAGAAGAATTCTATTGCCTTGTTAATGTTAGATTCATTATATAAATAACTCCAGTCAGCATTATGTAACATTCAAGAGATTATCTCATAATTTGCATTTTTTTAAATTATAATCTAAGACATTATCTGTAGGTATATTTACTATTAAATCATAATAATTATATGTAACGCTCAAAACAGGATGGTACTTATCAGGAGGGACAAGGACCTCGTCTGAAATAGAAACAGATAATTTTAATATATTTGAAAATATTAAGTTTAATTGTGATCCGAAAATGTTTTTAAATGTATTGCATTGTTGAAAATCATTAAATACCATAGTATCATAAATAATTTGGGATTTGGGAGTTTGTAATCCATTCAACTTTAAACTATCAATCTCTGATGAGAAAAACACGCTTGGTAAATTAAAATCACCTAATAATAAATATTTTATAGAATTACCACTGTATTTAGATAAAACATGCTGAAAGGATTCAACGAAATGGGAATACATCTCTATAGAACTATTTGGGGCTAAATAACAAGTACAAATAATTTAAAACAAAATTCTTATTAAGGTTAACTTTCACATATAATTGTTCTACATCGTTATGGGGTATATCAACGCGACTAGACTTGAATTTATTGTTTACGCTGATCAAGACTCTACCTCCCCTAACTTAGTTACTCGTATAAGAATTACGGTCTAACCTAAAAATATTATATCCAGACATTCTCAATTCAGAGTCTGAAATATCCGCTTGCAACCAAGTTTCAGTAAGCATAAAAGCACTGTAATTTAGACAAAATTAATTTCTTTTTACTAAATCTAATTTAGTCTGCAGACCACGAACATTCTGGTAATAAGTGGAAAATGAAAAGTTATTTACATTGCGATTATGAGTTACATTATTACATGACATATTAATAATGTAGTTACTTCTCTTGCAGTGGGTAATTAGTTTTTTTTAACCAAAGAAGGGGTACTTTTTTCGAATCGAATGAACCATCCAACATCGCCCGATTCTCTCTTCAGTCTTAATTCGGACCTCAATAGAAATAAATGGTCCCGTTGAGTTTTTGTAAGATCCTCTTCGATCCAAATCGAACGCCAACGTACATCATTTTTTAATTTCGACTTAGATTTAAGAATA